ATTAACGTGTTTCCATTGAGCAAATTTATTTTCGAAATTCTAATTTGCGCATTTTCATGGTCAATGGAAACACAGCTAATGAAAGATCACTAGCAAACAAAACTTTCATCTTGAGGGATTTCTTTATGTTCTGTTGTCTGGATTTTCTCTGGGTAGCTCAGCCATATCGGCTGAGTACCGGCGAGTCCACCTGTCTTCTTGAACTGTCACCACCGGATTACTGCTTTTTTAATTCCCCGCGTTTGTCAGGTCAAAAAGGGGTTGTGACAGTTGTTTTTAAAAGTGACATTAAATGCCGACAGATCTGCCTCCAGTCATCCTTTACAAGCTTTGAACGTTGCTCATTTGAAATTTGTCGCTCTCATGTTTTGTGTGTCGTCATTTATCGGCCACCCAAGTACAAAAAGGACTTTATAAGTGACTTTTAAGAATTTTTAGCTGAACTCCGGACAAAATGTCATCGTGTTCTTATTCTCTGTGATTTTAATATCCACACCTGTTGTCCAGAAGAGCCGATCTCCAGCAGCTGTTTAAATGTTACTGACTCTTTTAACTTTGTGCTGTCTGTGACTGGTCCTACTCATGAACTCGGGCACACACTCGACTTGGTCCTGTCGCATGGTCTGGATGTCTACAATTTGGACATTTGTGATGCTGTTTTCTCAGACCATATGCAGATCCTGTTTAACATTTCCACACACTGTCCGGTTAAACTGCCCGCTCTTCCTCAGCACAGCCACATGTTTAACTCCTCCTGTTCTCCTCTACTTTTCTTGGTCTCTGTGAGGATATCTCTAAAGACTCTCAAACTGGTTTCCGGCTTCCACTCTATTTGTTTACAAACACCGGACATGATCGCTCCTTTGCGCACCAAACCTGCACCCGAGCCCTGGCTGAATGACGTCACTCRTGCTGCCAGTCGTGAGGGCAGGAGAGCGGAGCGCAGGTGGAAAAAGGACAGGCTGCATGTTTCTTTTGGTATTCTYAAAGAGAGACTGTTGTGCTATCAGAGGACTGTAAAATCTGAGAAAACATATATCTCTCARGCATAATTGCTTTTAATTGTAACAACCMCAGTGTTCTCTTCAAAACCATAGACACTGTTCTCATTGCTCCCAAGTTTGTTGGTTTTGATGCCTCCACTGAAATCTGTGAGTTTTCTTCACTTCTTCAGTTATAAACTTGTGTCAACTAGAGCTTGTATTTCTCAGCCTTCCTATGACCCTTCTCTCCCTTTGCACCACTCATCTGGTTTTGATCAGTGTGAGCTGCTGTCCTTCTCATTTTTAGAGAACACAGTTGGTCATATGAGGCCCTCTGGTTCCCCTGCAGACTCCATCCTACATCGCTTGTTTAAGGAGGTACTTGCAAATATTGGACCAAGTGTGCTTCAGATTATCGACATTAGTCTTATTTTTCTGCTACAGTAACRGGGATTTTTAAGCATGCATTTGTACGTCCTCTACTTAAAAAAACAGGTCTGGATCCATCTCTCTGCTCTAACTTCTGGCCTATCTCTAATCTTCCATTATTTTTTAAATATTAGAAAAGGTTGTCTACAACCAGTTACCATTTTTTGCGGACAATGGTATCACTGAGCCGTTTCAGTCTGGGTTTAAAGCCCTCCACAGTACAGAGAGTACATTTTAAGGGTTTAAAATTATAGATTTTTGTCAACAGACTCCGAAAAGTTTGTTGTTTTAGTGCTTTTATGTTTGTCCACTGCATTCAACATTGTTGATCACAGTATTTTAATCTCTCATCTTGAGCACTGTGTGGGCATTAGGGGTGTTGCACTCAATTGGTTTCAATCCTACCTGCCTAATAGGAGTTTTTGTGTAAAAATTGACAATTTCCACAGCTCTGTTTCCATATGGGGTGCCCCAAGGTTCAATCCTCAGCCCTCTTTTATTTGCACTTTACCTACACCCCCTCGGCTCTGTTTTCAGGAAACATGGTATTTAATTTCACTGTTATGCTGATGTTTGTAAGATCTATTTTCTTGGCACAAAACAACCTATTCCAACTCACACACTGCCTTAATGTCATCAAAACATGGTTTTCTCTTAACTTCCTTAGTCTAAATGGGAATAAGATAGAAGTTATGTTGTTTGGACCGAGTTGCTGTCCCTAGCTCCTCCAACGTAGATCTTGGCCCATTATCTTTCTACCTCAAGGAATGTGTCACCAATAGCGTTGATCAGAGTTACCGTACTAAAAATAGCTCCCTACACAATATGTGACATCAGTAAGTCCCCATATGTCAGTCAGGCTGAACTGCGGCTACAATTGAGTCCAGTGCAGAAGACGCGGTTTGCACCGATAATAAAGAGCTTAAAAATTGTATCGGTAAAGCATTGTTGCTACAGGACTTGCAGTAGTGACACCCGATACGCTGACAAGCCTTATATGCAAAGCATTTGTTTTTTACTGTTTTCAAAGCCAATTATTCGGGGAGAGAACTTGATTGCTGGATTAGACTCTGTGGCACCCTGACCCCATACCAGCAACTGCAGACCATGAACAGGTTTGTGCTTCTGTTCCGTCCCGTTCAGTGGTGGTGGTGG